TTTCGTGATCTAATTGTTTAGGAAAAAAAAATTAAAAAATGGATTACACTTTTTTACAGGGATGTGGTTATATATNTCACATCGTCAATATTTCGTGATATAATTGTTTAGGAAAAAAAATTAAAAAATGGATTACACTTTTTTACAGGGATGTGGTTATATATTATATGGATAAATAATTATTGAATTTTGTAGGTTTCACTTGTCCATTTATTAGTAAACGATTATACCACGTGATAATGTTGATGTAACATAACTATTGCAGTCAATATGTTCCCGAGTCTAAAGAGCCTAATGACTAATAAGTCAAAATTCACGCGCCATGTTGCTATGTATTTGGTCATACAAGCCCATCTAATCCTACTTTATATTTCCCCCCCTCCCCTCAAAAAAACAAAAAAGGGACGACCCGACACAAAATGGAACATAAAGTAAAAAATTAAATGACACCCTGTTAGATAGTACAGTATAGTTAACACGAAAAATGTGAGATATATGATATAATTAGGGGTGTTTATGAGCCGGGTTAGGTTAGATTCGTGAATTTTTTTTCGAGCTGTGTCTTGATAGAGTAAGTTCAATCCCTTACCTATGTGAGTTATTAAGTAAGCCGGACTGGGATTTGGGTAGGGGTAGGCCACCTGCAGCCAATCTGCAAGCCTATTGGACGGGCCAAGTGGACTTGCTGGCGATTTTTTTTTATGTACAATTTTATTTTAAAATAATAAATATTTTTGAAATTTAATTTTTTGTAAATTATATTTTTAAATCAAATGTAAAGTCAAACTGAACAAAAAAATAAATAATTTTATTTATAAATAAGAGAGGAACTGTATCACAATAGAATGAACACTTCACAATTAGATTTACACATACTCACTTATCTATCATTTGTACAACTCTANAAAAAATAAATAATTTTATTTATAAATAAGAGAGGAACTGTATCACAATAGAATGAGCACTTCACAATTAGATTAACACATACTCACTTATCTATCATTTGTACAACTCAATCCTAAAAAATGTGTATTCTTAATAAATAAAAAAGAAAATAATACATTATTTATAGTAGCTAAATTTCTAAAACTTCAAATTTCAATATTGAAGACTTATTTTAAAATTTCAATTTTAGTGGTTTAACAATCTAACTTTTTTTTCAAAGAATGGTGGTTGGGTTGGGCTGAAGGGGAGTTCATGGGCCAGGTTTTAACGAATTTTTACTGGTGGACTATTGGGCTGTGTTTCGAGTTGGATAATGGGTTTGGGNAAATAATACATTATTTATAGTAGCTAAATTTCTAAAACTTCAAATTTCAATATTGAGGACTTATTTCAAAATTTCAATTTTAGTGGTTTAACAATCTAACTTTTTTTTCAAAGAATGGTGGTTGGGTTGGGCTGAAGGAGAGTTCATGGGCCAGGTTTTAACAAATTTTTACTGGCGGACTATTGGGCTGTGTTTCGGGTTGGATAATGGGTTTGAGNCAATATTGAGGACTTATTTCAAAATTTCAATTTTAGTGGTTTAACAATCTAACTTTTTTTTCAAAGAATGGTGGTTGGGTTGGGCTGAAGGAGAGTTCATGGGCCAGGTTTTAACAAATTTTTACTGGCGGACTATTGGGCTGTGTTTCGAGTTGGATAATGGGTTTGAGACAAGCCCAAACCCCATTTTTAAAGATATTAGACTCCAGCTTAGGCGAGTTAATTATCGGATTTATTTTTTTTAGGTTGAGTAGCAGGACTCATGGATAACCTGACCCATAGACACCCCTAGATATAATGGTAAGAAAATTTTAGTAGATTTAATGTTAGCATAATCAATGAAAAGCAAAAAAATTATAAATAATAAAACTTAAACTAAATATCATATACTCAAATGGTGCAATAACAACATAAAAAAATTCTCAGTATAAAAAATTCTAAAATTTTATTTTTTTGAAGTATTAAAGTAAAATTAAACTTAATTGAATATGTATCTAAAAACTTAATTTGAACATTAGTCTTAATTAAACTTCTATAAAATGGGACCCCAATGATTTGGGGGCCTAAAGCGGCGGCTTCAATGGTTATGCCATTAAATTGATCCTCCCCCGAAAAAAAACATTCAATCTCATGAAATTTTAATACAATCGATTCCAAACTAATATACATTCTATTAAAAAAATTTATTTCATCCCTCACAAATATATACACTTATGGATATACCTATATAATTCCTCTTTATGAGCATGACTTCCAAAAATTAAACTCACTCACTTAACCTCAAATCTAGTTCATTATTGGTAAGAGATGACCTAGATTAGGTGTACGATGATCTAAACTAGCTAGATTCAATTCACAGGACCTAAATTAGAGAACATATGTAGAAAAGAGAGTTTGGTGCCTACCTGATAAAAGTGGCTTTATGGCCAAACCACATCTCTTCCCCATTATATGAACTCATAGACAAAAAAAAAAAACAGTGTCACAAGCTCATATTTAATCTTCTATGGTCGAGGTCCATGACGCCCGCCGCACTTGATCGAGACTAAAACATAGCTCTGACAACTCTACTATGAGTCTGTCTTTTGGTGGCACAACCACAGTTGTTAACCTAAGTTCATATTGCGTATGATCTCATAATCGATGTGATGGTTGGCTCTGATCCCAATTGACATAAATTCATGGGTGAAACTTGTCTATCAATTAATTTGCAAGGCGAAAGGTGTCTAATCCTGACTACCATTAACAGACTATCTTCCAGAGATTTTCAAAGCCATACCTCCACACCTCCTCTTCCTCTTTCAGGTCAATAGTCACCAACTCCAGACACAGAGAGAATCCCTTGGCCAGTCTTTCATCCTGCCAATCCAGAAATGGTCCTTGGGTTAATGGTAATAAACCTAGACACTCAGTCCTATGTCTTCCTCACATCAAGAATTCCTAGAACTGAACAACTTGCTGGCATAAGTTGGAAGCCATTGAACAAAACAACCACTCAACATAAATGGCTCTCGGGTGTTACTCATCAACCGGAACCAACCGACATTCTCTTCAAACAACCAGGGACAGCTAACATTCTAGCACAAAACAAATGCATTGTATGTCCAACTTCTCAAACACTGACGTGCTACATACATTTCACAACTGATAAATATAGCTTCAAGCATCAAAAAATGATCACAAGTTCTAGCAATCCAAGAACGAAATAGACGGAAAGAACATACACCACTAACAACACAAGTGTTGTAATAAGGAATGACAAGATGCCTCGTTATGTAACAAAGGGCAAGCACCTACATGGAGCTGGATGATACATAAGGAAATGCTAAGCCAAGAGTAGTAGTTTGTTTTAAGGCCCTGAAAAATTTGTTCAATGATGGGATATATTCAAAATCAGATTGTCCATTCCTTCAATGCAGAACAATGGTCCACACTTAAGTATTACCATCCCTATAGCCTTATTGCAACCCCAAGACATCAACAAACCTACAACACTGCCCAAGTCCCACCTCAGTTTATCATAACCTGCTCTATAACATCCCATACCCACCCAGCCTAGGTTCCCTACCAACACACATCTAGTACAGATATGTCATGGCCAGACCTTGACACATGTAATCTATTTATCTCACAGTGGAAGAGATCCCTAGCATCAGTTCAAGTCCTTCAGCATTCACAACAACAGCAGAAATAATCCTCAACAACGATCAAAATGAAAGTAACTAAAAAGAAAACATAATGACATGAATCAAGATTCTTGCTAGTCCTACAACCACACCTACTGGATTAGCCAAATAAGATGTGCAAAAAGCGATGTACATTGCTTAATGAACCTTAAAGCTACATCACAAAAGCATAAAACTCCTAAAATATTCACAGTAGATGACCACGAACTCAAAGGCACAAAGCTCTTACAACACCAGTCTAAAATATTGCATGTACTTTCCAAAGCATATTGCACCAAACAAAAACAAAAGCAGATGCATAACCACTGGTTCAAGCACTGAAGTTGATTTCCAGAATAATCTGAATAGGGCACTGCAAAAAATGCTGCTACTCGCAAAACAAAATTGTGAGTTTTCTCTTTCTTTCAGATACTAGGAGTCCCCCTTGCTCTCTCCTTAAGAAGCTGTGCTTTTCCAGAAAGTTCCATTTAACAGCAGTACAAATTCCGATTGATAANAAAACAAAATTGTGAGTTTTCTCTTTCTTTCAGATACTAGGAGTCCCCCTTGCTCTTTCCTTAAGAAGCTGTGCTTTTCCAGAAAGTTCCATTTAACAGCAGTACAAATTCCGATTGATCAATGTACCTAAAAATAAATGAATGCACGAAAAAGAAATCTGTTCATCACAGAGACAGTAGGAGATATCCAAATCTAAAGAAACAATGTTGAAAATGAGCATCTCTTTGGTGGAGACACATTTGGTGGAGACATAGATCATGCGTTTTTAGGCATATGCTGCATTCCATAAATCAAAATCCAACAAGAGCCATTTAAGGATATACCTCAGCCTAGCCTTGCAAATCCAACAGAAAATTCAACCAATGCAGTAAGTAAACAACCTAAGAGTTACTAATTCATGTGTGATATATCAATGATGAATAGACATCACAAACACAACAGAGCAGCTCCATAATTTTTTTCACCTAGCATATCTTGAGGACAAACTGGAACACAAACACACGGTTATTTCTAAAACATAGCCCAGAGAATTCAGGTAAACACGACACCCAGAACCAATAATTTATTGAGGTATATACCAGCAGCAGTCCAACCAACATGTATATGTGTGAAAAATAGAGAACACAATATCTCGCAGCTACATCAGTTGTTGTAATTTGTTCGACTGATGCAGAAACAGAATATATATATATATGTATATATATATATATCAATCATTTTAACATACATTCATATGCACACAAAGAGACACAAATCTGAGTAGTCCGTACAAAGTTAAATGAACAAAACAGACCAAGAATAAAATTTACCTTAACTATGCCTTGGCTCTCAGAATGAGTTCATCTCAAGACAATAAGTCCTTCTCTTCAGCAACATCCTTGCCGCAGTCCCAAATGGCTCCTCAAACGCGGCTGAAACCCATGACCCATCACAACCCACCTCCTTCTTCACAGCAACCTGTGATTGGTCACTCGGCCTAATTGCCACCAACGTTGCCCCTTTCAACACAGTCCCATCGGGCAATTCCAAATGTGGCGCAAACCACAACCTCATATTCAATGCCGGCACCAAAGTCCTCTTCGAGGCAGAAGAAGCTGACAATGGTTTTACTCTCAGCTCCTCCAATTGCTCCCTATTCATACACAACACCCCTTGCCCATCAGCATCGGTCAAAACCAAACTACCCAATGTCTTATGCTCTGCTATGATCGGCTGGAGCAAATAATGCCTAGCAGAAGCAGCGATCAAAGAACTAATAGTCCATACTACACGCAATTTCAGCCCCCCATTAGTGTAAAACGACTCGGGTATGCTTCCATTATCATCATTTCCGTTTCCGTTTCCATTGGCTCCACCATTGATCAAGCGAAGCTCATCGCTATGGGTTTCCCCAGAGACCAAAAACTTACTGTGCCCGGCATGAATCACAGACGAAGCGCCAAGAATAACGCAATTGTCAAGTGTGGAACCGAAATCTGCCCTCCACTTTAACAGAACGCCGGCATCGATTCCCAATTCCCCACTTGGTAATTCAATCCGAAGGTATCGAATCTCGTTGAAATTCTTGAGAACTTGCGTTGGAGAGTGATGGGTCACTCCATTTTGATCAAGGTCATCATCGTCGGTGGAGAGGGAAGATGAAGATGGACCCACCGGTCTTTTTGGACCCAGAAATTGGGTGAGGGATTGGAAGGGCTTGATGATGCTACAACAGACCAAGCGTAAGAGACAGGAAATTGGGGATCGAGACTTGTCGGAGGAAGCAGAGGTGGAGGAGGACGAGGATTCGTCGTCGGAGATCACGCAATCGACTCGAACAACGATGTTTTCAACCTGAGGGACCAAAGAGTGGAATCGTTTCGAAACTACACAGCATCGGCCTAAGGCCTTGACGTCGCCGATCTTATTGAAGACTAGGAGGAGGATAGAATCGGGCAAACGGTCAAAATGGTCGATTCCTAAGGGATATGTGTAGGGTTCCGGGTAGATTTTGTTGGTCAGATCTGGTTTAAACGAAGACATCTAGATGGTTCTATTGATGAATATAGGTAGAGAGAGAGAGAGGGGGGTTTTGGAGAGAGAAAAGGCAAAGGGGATCTGGGTAAGATGGGTTTCTGTTGTTGAGATCGAATTGAGGATGATGAGTGAAGGGAAAGGGAAGGGAAAGGGAAGGGAGAGGTTAGGGATCTGAATAGAGAGAAAGCATAATTTGTGCGTGCGTGGTTGTTGTGGGGGGGAATCTCAGGATGGTGGTGTGGGAGGCGAAATTGGGTTTGGTGATTAAGATAGGGGCTGTGCAGGCACTTATGGTGTTAATGGAGTTTCAGTACCAGAGAGAAAGAAAGATGAGATGGATCCACGATTTTTGTCTTACAGAGAAGGGGATGAGAGAAACAGAGAGAGAGAGAAAGTCAGAAAAGGAAAGGTTGTAATGCGCTTGAAGGGGATAAAGTTTGAGCGTGCGTGAGTGTTGGGAGAGAGAGAGAGAGAGAGGGAGGGCAGTGCTGTATTATGTATTTTCTCAATTTATAGTACTTTTTTTTGGGGGTATTTTCATTACTTAATACCCTTGTTTTGGTTTTTTTCAAAAATAAAATGGAGGGGTCAAAAAGGAAATAAAATAGTACTAGGGGTAGAGTCTCAATTTGGGCTCAAATAAAATTGTAAAATTTCCAAGGTAATTGTTGATTATGTTCAAATCTCTACACTATTGATATTAAGTTTTAATTTTGGTTAAAATTAGATTTTGAAGGGATGTAGAAGGATGGACTGTGTAAGATTAAACTAGTTAATAATTTCAAGTGGCATCAGCACATGATCAGGAAAGGAACGTGACGATGAACACATGGTGATGGTGAACACGTGGTAAAGCGAGACTTTTGATAGGCAAAGTGTCTCTGTCATAGCAGTAGTTTGGTTAACCAAGTCGTGTCCCGCCCCATCAAACAAAATTGAACAGAACCGAGCAAATGACAAAGTTGTTCGATTAACAAGAATGTCAAGCAATGAGTCAAAGAGACTAAGGATGTGAGAAACTATGAGACTGACTCTAGTAAAGACATATTCGAATTAGAGATAGCTGGTAAAGCCACAGCATTAATGGATGCATATAGTTGGGGCACTGCAAATGTTGGAAATGGCATCCCTAGCAAATTCTTGAGGAGTATTCTCTTAGTAATTGTAAGGGTAAAAATTGAGAATACCTCTTACAAAAATAAAGAATAAACATTTTTGATAAGAGTGAATTCTGAACTTGATCTCTCAGTCTTTACTTTCTGCAAAACTAATAAATTGCCTAAGATCGAAGTGCTTCGATCGAAGACACTCCGATATTTAAATCAGTAATAAAACTGATACAATTGCAAGAAGACAAGGAAAGTTCAGTGTACCTTTCACCTTGACTCCTTGTGTCTTTTATAGGTCCCTATTCAGTTAGNATATTTAAATCAGTAATAAAACTGATACAATTGCAAGAAGACAAGGAAAGTTCAGTATACCTTTCACCTTGACTCCTTGTGTCTTTTATAGGTCCCTATTCAGTTAGGGTTTCCATGATTTTCGATTCAAGGTGGTATACCTTCCTCCAATTAGGCGGCTCTAGTTGGAAAGTTGCTGATATCTCTTCAATAATTTCTCTTACCGGGCATATAATTTCGTCAATTCGTTTAGCCAGAATGTCTAAGTTATAGACATTNATTTTCGATTCAAGGTGGTATACCTTCCTCCAATTAGGCGGCTCTAGTTGGAAAGTTGCTGATATCTCTTCAATAATTCCTCTTACCGGGCATATAATTTCGTCAATTCGTTTAGCCAGAATGTCTAAGTTATAGACACTTCCTTAATTTTTCATTTACTGTTTCAAATAGCTCAGTTATGATGTGGACCGAGCTCCTTTATTCACTATCGAGCTCTTTGATCAGTTCGGTTTCAAACTGTTGACTTAATATATAATTATGTCTCAGTCGCATGACGGGTCTTGTCTTGCTCACGTGGAATTATTAAATGCAAATGCACGTGTCACGTTGGGGGACACCCTCTTCATTTGTCCCTAGAAAACGTCTGATAGACACCTTTCGTCTGTCAACCATTTTATGTCTGTACTCCCATCATTACTTACACCTTTAGAACATCCCCCTTTGTTTTGGCGGCGAGTCTAGTCATCCACTGTTGAATCGACCTCGACCACTAAACTGACTCTACCAACAACTTATGTGCCTTTAATCCATGTTCGTGAGGAGGAGCCTACAACCGAGGTTCCTATCAAAATTGTTCCTTCCAAGCCAGATAATGCATTTCTGTTGGTTAGCGACCCAGCAGACTTGGTTCAGGCCATTGAAACTTCAATTCCGATTGAATTCGATCCTCCAGACTCTATTTTTTCTCCTGATCATCAAGATGACTCAATCTTTGAATTTGCCGAAGACCCTCCCCAAAAAGACAAAAAATTACTGAGTTCGAGGCAAGCCTTTCTCCCAAGCCTGTCAATCCCCCTTTCTGACCCGTCCTCGAGGTCAAAAGGAGAGAGATCTCAGTAAAAGATTCTGCTATTAAAAACTTCAATGTTGTAGTGGGGATTGCCAGAGGGGTCATTCTACCTTGGAACCTTGCTATGAACGAAACTTTAACTGATGATGAAGTGACCTGCCAGGCTATTCAGCACATGGTCTTGGTTTGATTTGTTCCTTTAGACCTCCTCTTCTTTCTTCAAAATTTTGTCTAAGTCTTTTTCTTTTTTCAATTTTAAGGGTCAGTAAAAAGTTCATGAAGTGGGAGCCAGGATTGTCACGCCCCATCCCGGTCTCTCAAGGATGAGATGCGACTAGATTTTTGATACACCTGTTTACAATTATTTTAATTTGGACTAATTAGACATTAAATATTTCTACAGGTGCAACAACACCACTCATCACCTTAGTCATTAAGCATGATGGTAAAACATGTTTCATATATAAAACACTTGGATCAATTGTTTATCTACCAGAGTATAGACATATACAAAATTCCACACCCACATAGCATACATCATAAAGTATACTTGTTGAGTTTATTTACAAATATATACTAATAACCAACCATAATAATCTTTCACAAATATAATACACAACCCAACGATTAGTCATACCGACACTTAACCTGAGTGGTATCACACTAATGTTGTACAAGACTCAATCAACTAGATAGTGGACTAGTCTGCATTTTCTTCTATAGTACTTGAAAAGAAGAAACTGTTGGGGTGTGAGCTAAACCATGCACTCAGTGAGTATGCATGCAGTATATGAAATAGAAATGATAGTAATACACTGAAATAGGTATATACTATGTAGATATATGTATCAAACAACAACATCAATCCATTTCCAAAAAATTCATAAGCCACATCACATTCATATTACCCCTCATCAAATAATCGATCTCACATAGATCCGTGTCTCCCGAACACCCCAGGAATACAANTCAATCCATTTCCAAAAAATTCATAAGCCACATCACATTCATATTACCCCTCATCAGATAATCGATCTCACATAGATCCGTGTCTCCCGAACCCCCCAAGAATACCANATGATAGTAATACACTGAAATAGGTATATACTATGTAGATATATGTATCAAACAACAACATCAATCCATTTCCAAAAAATTCATAAGCCACATCACATTCATATTACCCCTCATCAAATAATCGATCTCACATAGATCCGTGTCTCCCGAACACCCCAGGAATACAAGAGTGCTAGCACATTACTGCACGTCCAGTGATCAGGCATCGACACCCCTGTCTCAAACAGTACACTACATTCCACAATACACAATACACAATACAAAGCATCATTCAATCACATAGGCAAGTAGCACATAATCCTGAAGATATACTATTAAATTCTATCATTTACTATCATCTTATAATAGCATTTTTAAAACATATAAAGATATATACTCACCTCAGATGTACAAAGTTACGACCCTTCGGTCCTATTGGTGGATCTTTTCGGTGTTACCGTATCCGTTCCGACACCAACTGTCTCACCCNATTTACTATCATCTTATAATAGCATTTTTAAAACATATAAAGATATATACTCACCTCAGATGTACAAAGCTACGACCCTTCGGTCCTATTGGTGGATCTTTTCGGTGTTACCGTATCCGTTCCGACACCAACTGTCTCACCCGTTCCACCTAACACATGTGTAATTATAATATCAATATGTTTATCACATTTAATAGTTAATCATGTATTAATGCATAAAAAATGATGCACCCTAAAGTGCCTCCGTAACTCCGGTTACCGTACTATCCTCTCACACAATAGTACTTTTATTCTAGGGATCACAAATTGTNCACCTAACACATGTGTAATTATAATATCAATATGTTTATCACATTTAATAGTTAATCATGTACTAATGCATAAAAAATGATGCACCCTAAAGTGCCTCGGTAACTCCGGTTACCGTACTATCCTCTCACACAATAGTACTTTTATTCTAGGGATCACAAATTGTCAAAATCATTCACATTAGTCACAATTAGGATTACGTAGGTCAAACACATTGACCGAGGGCCCATTTTCACACATTTCGACCTTGAATCCTAAAAATTGCACTTTCAACATTTCGCACTGGATATTATACTCATTTGTATTCAAAAGTCACATTATCACATCAAGTATCATTTAAAAGTGCTGCATGCANGGATTACGTAGGTCAAACACATTGACCGAGGGCCCATTTTCACACATTTCGACCTTGAATCCTAAAAATTGCACTTCCAACATTTCGCACTGGATATTATACTCATTTGTATTCAAAAGTCACATTATCACATCAAGTATCATTTAAAAGTGCTGCATGAAAAATTTCAAGTTATTTGGATTAAAATTCACACATGTGATAATAACATTTAGAAATCAGGGTTTTGGTGTTACCGATATCCNTTCTCGGCTCTTCTTCATGGAGCTTAGTCTCTAAACAGAGACTTTAGAATGCTTAGAAAATTATTAGGCTCTTGAAGTTATGACC